CTCTCGTTAGAAGCGATAGTGGGATATATAATAAGTTGATGATGAGGACAGTTCCTCTGCGTTGTTCATGGCATGTCCTGTTTACAGATGGAGGCGCGCTTTAAGCTACGCAAGACATCGGAGAGCATGGTGGCGGAAGGCGGCATCTCGGGGCTGCAGATGGTGGTGCGCTCCCTGGGCCGCGTAGAGAGCTCCACGCGCTTCTTGCTGGAGCCTACGCAGGTGTCCCTGGCCGTGAGTCAGCCGCCCGACTCCGGCATGCACGTGGACATCGCAGTCTCCGATATCACCATCACTGTCTCCCCTGGTGAGTGAACGATCATAGCGGCATAGTGACATTTTTAGAAGCAGTAGAGTTCCTCGTGAAAGAGTTAGTCCAGGGAAGTACTGCCACCCTACCTATTTCTGCCGCCAAGCCGTAATGTGAGCATTACTGCCTTCCGGTTTTGTAGGATAAGGGTGCTGGTGAATTTACAAGCACATGGGACTTGTCAATTTATGTCTCAGGGTGACGGACGCAGGCACAGTGGCCTTAAGACCATTGCGATTTAAAGCTCTGAGTAGCACTGCAACAGTTGTGGACAGGCGTGTCGCTTACCACAAGGGGCACGACTTGCCATGCGCTTAACAAGTGCTGCACTTGGTATTATAAAAAAATATTAATTTTGGTATACAGATAGATGGGACCTAGAAGGACAAAGGCTACTTTTTTTCACAAAAATAAATCTTAAAGGGGGCGAAATTGGGTATGATGATGATGAGTTTGTGTGGAGAACTAATCATTTTCAGAAGTAAGTAGGCTCGAAGTATTTATTCTTATTAACGGTTACCAGACTTCTTTACGGTCTGATGCTCCCTGTTGCGTTTTTACAATGTCTTTTCAATTACTTAAAAAACCGGAAGCAAAACAATTATTCAGATTTTTTACTAGAGATAAGTATGGTAAGGTATGATGAGCTGGTGTCAGCAATTCAACGTTTACTTTGCGTGTGGTAGAGATAAGTAATTGACAGCTACAAATGTCAAGTTGAAAAATAATGTGCCAATATTAATTTATAGTGTATATATGTTTGATTCAGTTATCAGTAAATTAGCTGAAACAGAATTAGTCAAAAAGAAACGTTAAGTTAATCTGCAAATACACAGATGGAAATCTACATGTCTGTGATTTAGCAGACAAAAAATCTGATAAATAAAATTGGATAAATAGACGATGCAAGTACCGTGAGTTGTGTGAAAATCAAACATGCCACATTTTTCGTACCTACTATGACGTCACTAACGCTATGTAGTGATGGGATGGAATTTAAAGAAAATGGTTCTGTTGCGGCCACCGCAGTCTCCTGGCAGTTGTGATAGACAGAAGTGACAGTGGCCTACTAAGGCACTGGTCCTCCCGTCATTTAAGTGCGTACTAATATAGTCATCCAGATTTTTGTAATACTGACATTTGACTTTATAGATCCATTTTGCCCCCGTTACATAAAAGGGCGCATGTGACAAAAAACTCAAAATCGAGAAAGTAATGTTTAACGAAATGGAATTCAAAAATATGTCCTTTTTTCTAGCGGTAACTTCAAAGTTTATCCACCTAGGAAAAAATAAAAATATTGACATATCGTTCTTTTGTTACGGATCACGATCAGTATACCTAACAATTAAAAAAAAAGAAATGTCACACGCGCCCTTTTAACTAACACCGGTAGTGGTGTCTGAAATAAATGCATTTTATTTTTTTATTTTAAATACGATTTACTTAAATTATGTAGGTTCTTAGGTTTATAATTTTTTCAGAAACTATGGCACTCCTGAACCGAGTTCTGGCTACAATAACAAGCACAGAGGAAGATGCTACAGTTCTAGAAAACAAACCTGTCATTTACGATAACTTGTGGGCGACGAAGGCGTTCAGACCCCAAAGTTATTGGTTCCTTAGCACAGGTCAGTAATGTTTCACCTTTCGTTTAGAGTACCAGTCGATATATGTACACCGTGTGCCTTTTTAACCAGCAATACCTGTTAGGAGAACGTTTGCTATTTAACCAATAGATTGAAGAATACCACTGAATCTGAAAATGAAGAAAATATCGTGAGGAAACAAATGATGATGAAAAAATTTCAGACATGTCGATACTTCGGGGAAGAAGAAGTGTAAAACCTAACTACGAAGTTTACAAGACGAGTGGCAAACAAGAATTTATAAACCTTTTGGTTCATGTATCTTTCTTTTAATTTTTTCTTGTTTTTAAGAGTTGGTTATATATAGGAGCTATCGCCTACCATCATCATAGATTTCAAAATAATATAGACATAGATTACAAATATTTTATATAACACGACATTTAGTTGTAGTAAAAATGAATTTGATAATGTATTTAAACCCAAAACAATAATTTTCCAGAGGGAGACTAAATTCAATAACTGGGCAACAGTAGGCATTCATAAGAGTGGGTCTTGTTTGTATGAGCTATACACTATGAAAACTTATAATACTAATTCCAGTTTTATAGCATATGTTACACATTATTCAAAAATATTTAAAAAAGTTTGTGCAGCTGCTAAGGTTAAGTTTCACAGCGATAAAATTAGACAATCGAAAAATAAAACTAAAACTAGTTGGAGTAAAATAAATAAAGAGTCAGGCAGGTGTAAACAACATGGTAGAGACATAGTTCTAGAATTAGACGGCAAACTTATAAAATCTAAAGATGCATTTAGCTAATGCATTCAATAGGTGCGCTAACCAGTCTCACTCCATAGGGATGTGGAGTGAGACTGGATTATGTCCAGCAGTGGATGTGTATAAGCTGATATGATTAAGCTAATATTGTTTTTAGATCAAGCGGAAGAAGCGTTTGAAACTCTAGAAATAGAAGCACAACCAAAGGCACCGGTTGGTGAGATTTGTCTGCTGTCTAGTCCGTCTATCGTAATCTCGTTCGAGATGGAGGTGGGCCGAGAGACCATTCCAATGCTGGTCATGGCGGCTTCGCTTAGTGGACAAGTTAAAGATTGGAGTTCTGATGTAAGTTTAAATTTTGTAAGCATTTATTAAGCATGTATTTTCTAGCAGATAGCGATAAGAAATACAAAGAAGATTGAGAACTTATGACATTCTTTATAAAGTTCAGTGCCATATTAGATAAACGAAATGAAATGGAAAAAAAAGATGTCAAAGCTGTAAACTGCTCATTTGTATATGATTTACAGTAGGCCGTTTTTAATAAACAAACAAAAAACTTACTAAAAAAAAAAACAAAAACTTACTATTTTTGTCAAGGCAGCGGTCGCTCGTTGTTTAAAAAATTACATCAAGTGGTAGACGTGTTTATTGTAGTGCTTATGGTTGTTTGAAATAGGGATGCACATTACGATACAATTTTTATGAAGATCGATTCAATTGCATACGATCTAGCGATTTTTTGTATCGATTGTTTTCAATGTGATTTAAGCGAATCGATTCAAAATTAACCCGAATCGAACGCCGAGAACGTGTTCATAATTTAAACAAAAATTAATGATTTCGTCAAGTACAGAAACGAAAAATAAAGAGGACGACAATGTTTTGGACATTAAGTTATATGACATTATTATTAAAAAGTTTAGTTAGATATAAAGGATTGGCATCTGTGAAAAGCAAAAAACATATTACGTATTATTATGGCAATTAAATGATTTAGTAAAGGTGTTTTATTTATTGTAAATTTTAAAATCATTTTTATGGGATCGATTCAAGGGCATACAATCCAATTCGTGGATCAATTTCTGAATTGATCCACGAATTGGATTGTGATCCGGCATATGATCCATTACGATCCAAAAAATCAATTCGAAACAAAAAATCGTGCATCCCTGGTTTAAACTAGAGTAACTACCTCAAATTCAAAATTGTTCAGCGTTTCGTTTCTATTTCATATCATACTATAATCCCATAATCGAAATACCATTCGCGATGGTGGTATAAAAATATCAATATTTCACAAAAGTTATTTCAATATAGCACGAGAATAGTGTGATTGTGTTTTTTAAATGGACGTATTACTGTGTACTTTAAATTGAATTAGTTCCATCCGTAGTTCTATCTGGAGTCGACGTGGGCGATGCAAGTGTCGTACTACAACATGGCGTGCGCCGTGTGGGAGCCCTTCGTCGAACCCGTCGAAGTGATGCGCGATGCGCAGTACAAGCACGAGCCGTGGGAACTCAAATTGGAGGTAAAATTGTACATTCACCGGCCAGTAAACGAGAATCCAATTTTCAGTGACCTACAACCATCGCCTACTTAAACATTCATAAAGTTATTTTAGTGAAATCGGATGAATAGTGCGATATATGTCACATGCCGACGTGAACAATGAACTATTTGAAATTAATGAAGCAATTATTTCTCTATTTTGGTTTGTATTCGCTTGCTTACTCGTGACAACGTGAAGAAAACGTGCGATTCTTTCCTAAAACATTTTCTTAAAGTACAATTTCTGATGTTGTAAACGACTACCAACGATCTTGATATGATACTCATCTTTCAAATGAGGGAGGGGAAAATCGTGATCTGTTTTATAGGTTATGTCACGTATTAAAGTCTGTTCCAATCCATTTTGAACAAAATGTAAACAAAACTGTTGTCAGATCAAACTCAATAAATTGAATACGTAACACTTTCACGTATATTTCGAAGATCTCGTCTTGATATCTCATCACTTTTTCCAACAATATTCATTTGAATAGCTATAGCTATTTTAAATATGCTTATACAGGTTATGTAAGGAAAACCGCTAGTACGACTCAATTGAACAAATTGATTCATTCAATTAATTAATCGATTTCTAGTTTGCATTACAGTTGGCATGACTAAACCGTCTAAGGTCGGGTCAGTGACTTCTTTGTTTACTTTTTGTTCAAAATGGATTGAAATGAAGTAGATATTTGCTATTGGATAAATATGTATTTGTGAAAGCAGAATATGTACATGTTCAACATGTCTTCGATCGACAAGATGTTCTCATCTAGTTTTTTAGAATATATTTTTTTTTATTCTAACAAATTGTACCACGCGATGAGAACAATTAATATTTTTAGAGTTTGATTACCATAAATAGATCACGATCCTCATATTCTGTAATAAAATAACCTTTGGCCCTGTTCGAGCTTTGTCAGGTCGAAGGAGTTTCTCTTTGTCTTCGATCTTTGTATTAATAATTATAACATACTAGTGAAGTTATTTCACAGAAAATGAAATGAATATCACCACGATATTCAATAAAAATTAAAAAAATAACCTATTCACCTCACTATCTCGGAAAGGCTTTCTTTCACATTAGAAATCACAGCTCAAAAGCGTTTTTTCCACGCTAGCGTGGAAAAAGTTTTTGTGCTTTGATCTTGACGCTGTGATGCACCTACCTTTTTCTTTCGAAAAAAACAATGACACGTTCAACTACGCGATTTGTCGTACATTATTTATGTAATATAAATCCGTTGGTATTTTTGTTCTTATTATTGTTGTCATTAAATTGATAACAAAATAATTATTATTTAATTAAAACTGATTTGTTTCAACTGTTTATTCAACTGTTTTTCATTCATGTAACATTTTCCTCGCTATAGTGAGGTGAAATGTTGTGTGTTTTGCTCGGCAGCAAAGTTGTTTTGCGTCTCGCGGCTTGCTCGCTTCGCTCGTGGTTCAATCTTAGAATCATTCGTTTGCTCAGGTTGCAATACAAGCACTCGCGTCAAACAACAACTTTGCAGCCTTGCATAACAAATAACTATTGTCAGGTCGTGATGCGGCAGCCGGATATCCGCCAGCAATCAATTAACTTAACAGACGAGGCTGCGAACAATCAAACCGTGGCCCAGCGGCAGGCCACGAAGAGCATTACCATCTCCAGCAGTGAACCTCTCGAAATCACATGCACGAGAACCGGTATGGAGGTACGTGTACAGTGTAGGTACAAGAAAATCGGGAAGAATATCAAAATTAATTTCTAACGCATTCAGATTACTTTAAGAAAAGTTCGTAGCTGAACGGTTACTCTGCTGGTCTGCCACGCAGAGGCACCGGGTTCGATTCCCGGGCCGAGAGAAATATTGGTATGGCTTACATTTTTTCTCGTTAGTTGTAAGTAGTGGGTGTAATTTCTGGTTGTCTGTGTGTGTGTCCATGGCACTAGCGATACAGGGTTCCATAGTGTGGGGCTGTGAGTGTTTGGGTTATTATTATTATTGGCAACATTGTTTTTAGGTTCTACAACTACTTAGCAACTCAGTTGCTGCAGCGACCACCGAGCAAGAACCTGCCGTGGCCAAGTCGAAGTCAGGGGATGTAAGAAATAATATGATGAATTTTATTTCCTTTAAACTTTCGTGGCAGTTAAGACTCGTCTATATATCGATTAGGAATGCCACAGATACTTGTATCTTCAACCGCGATTTATCCTCATATTGTTAAATATCTGCTTCCGCATTCGACATTCGAATTCGTTGATGCTGTTTGTTGCGGATACAGATGTTTTACAGGGCACGCCGAGTACTAATGTCAATTAACAGCCAATCAGTACATTAAAAATACGGCAGCGCGTACAGGAAACTACAATTGATTCTTTATTTGTTTGTTAAACAAATAAAGAATCAATTATTGAGATTCATTATCTTACGTTACGCGCATGCTAGTTAGGAATATTATGTTTTAACGTAAATTTATTTTCGTTTATTGATTTTCATAAGTAACAACAAGTAGTAAGTATAAACAATGCCGTCATCTTTAAAAAGTGTGATTTGGAAACTTGGAAAACTTTTTTACACATACGCTTTGAATTCGCATCTTTAGATTTGAACGTTGAAAAATCCGCATCCGCACCTGCAGATGTATCGGATATGTGCTGAAGTTTAAATGTGAATTTTGGTTATGACGGAATGAAAGCCTATTGAATTTCTATTGCTCGCTCTTTCTTGTCTATTAGCTAATGTCGTATCTTATATATAAATGGTATTACAGATGGAAAAGAAAGAATTTGAAGGGGCGCCGTATGTCCTTCACAACTGCACTGGACTGACAGCTAAGCTGTTGCTAAAAGACAACCTTGACTTCACCGTACATCTGACTAGAGACATACCGCAAACGTACCAGTAAGTTTGTTGTCTCATCCCTTTTCACGATTGAAAGGAAAAAGTGTTTTGTTATAATTAATTCCCGTTAAGAATGTAGTAGGAAATTTGAAAGGAAAATATGTATGTGATTGGCTAATTTTAATTTTCTACTGTACTGTTAACGCGAATGTTCCGCTAAAAGAACTACAAATATATGTAGTAAGAGCGTGTTTTTGTCTGTGCCTCTACCATGAGGTTGCAGTGACAGTTATCGCTAGGGACTGCGTAAAATGGTTTGTATACAAAACCGCGTGATGGCGCTGTACAATTTGCCATACAAAATTGTGAACTAATAGCGCGGTCGCTAACGACAACTGTCAAATTAAACTCGTGGTAGTGGCACTGTTAATTTGTGTCGTTTTTCAAGATAGATTAAACGTACAGTTCATTGTGTAAAATTGTCGCCCGCTCGCAAGGAGCTAGTGATTGCAGTCGATAAAATATTCTATCGACCATCGACTGAATGTTGGCCACGCTTATACAACAAATAGCCGAACTTATCCGTCCAACTGTTGGGCATAGGTTAATTTTTATTGTCAATTTTTGCAATGTCTTACGTACGCACATTGCATTAGAACTATGTCCATTAAAAATACAAAGAGAAGACTTGTTTTATAGCTGTTCATTTTAATTCGATATAGATAGTCAAATCCGCTTGTTCCTATTAAAATGTATGAATTAATATTTCTAATATGTCAACTTTTCTTTCGACTTTTTTTTTTTTTCGACTTTTGATTCTAATAGGTCAACTGTCAAAATGAGAATAAACAACGCAATAACGCAATTAGTAATCCTTAGAACGTCGTAACATTCACAATCCAACATTTTTAGCAAATTTTTACATTCTTTCACAATCTATCTATAAAACAGTCAACAACAACTTCATGACTATTTAAAATTTTATGAAAACTGGCAACCCTACAAATGTCATTTTACTCCGTCTTCTTATTAAAATAATGAACTTACAGGTTGCATGACATAATTTGAAACAATTAAAATATTCATCACGGTATTCTCGTGCCATATTGATATAATCTTCGTCAAATGCTACTGTATTCTTTATATTTTTATTACCAGCATCGCATATCAGTATCTCAATTGTAGGGGTATGATCATGAAGTAGAAATGAAATGCAAGTTTGTATATACATAACGGTACATCATGGACCAATGACTCAAGAGGAACGCGGTAATGGTACACCAGATGTCACGCAAGGTTTATTATTTTGATTAGAATCATTGCCATCTACCATGTTAGCAAGAGTTAATTTTTAATTAGTTATAACACATAATTGACATCAATTTTAAATTTTTACATTTTTTGTTTACGCCTCTCAGTTCTTATTCTAAATTTTATTTTGTTTCATTATATTTTCTTATATTGTGTTCAATATCTTGACTTGCAGTGCCCTATTCATAGTCATGTACTACACTATAGTCGTAATGTAACACATTTGTAACATCTGACTATGTACATGTGACAATAAATACAAATACTATCTTATTTGTTAAAGTTCAAGAAATAATTTTAGCTCATGAACATATTTGAATAATATTACAAGGAAAAAACGGACTTCTTATATTTCACATTAAAGAGGAATTAATAGATATCTAGACATAAGACGGAATTTTTATTTTTCTCAGAGTTACGATTGTACTATGGACATTAGCCAGTCGAGTTATTGGTTCATGGGTACATTTATAAATAAAAAAATTATAAATTTGACACTGGAAACTATTTTTCATATTTCAAACACCGACCGACTGCTTCAATTATAAGATAAACTATGCATGGGATCCGAGAATATGCGAACCCCTAGCCCCACTGCTACGATTGTATGTAGTTCCACTACTTGTCTTATCATTGTATGGAAGTAATCTCGGAGTTACGTTACAGAATCTGGCCCTGTACTCTCGTTCTCCATCCGTCCGAAACTAAATAGAATAGACTAAATTAAAAGACGCATAAAGCTTCACACACATAATTTAGTCGAGTAATACTCATTTCACAGTAATTGTGGCCACGCCTAAGGTTCAATCATAATGTAAATTACATATGCGACATTCTATCACAACAGCCTTTAAATAGAGTATCTTTGTTCGCGTATACTTCATCTAACTCCGTTCTACTTCATAGGACTACTATAATTATCTTAATAGGTCCTTGACCTCATATCGATCCTTTGGATCTCAACTAATGGGATCCTCTGATCCCTATAATGGGCCTCCCTACAGCTCTTCCTCTGCCACTGCTTTATGCCCCCTTATACCTTTAGTACAAGTGGCGGGGCGGGCCTTATTCTAATTCTGTTACTGATTCGACATACTCTATCTTCAGGCTGTCTAGGCAACAAATACTGCATCTAAGTTACTAATAAACATTGTACAAACTTACCAACTGTAGTGCCGACCAACCAGTGCACTCCCAGCTGACGCCTGATATCTCACTTTCAGAATTTGAGATGCCTGGACTGCCGTGTTAGTTCCCTACTCTTAGTTATCATAACAGACTAAATTTATTAATGCTTGATATTACAAAACTAATACTAAATCGCGACACAATTCGCGACAATAATTGTTTTGGAAGTCATGTCGAACAGAAAACGAGAGCACACCGCCAGGAACGAGGACATAAGAAGAGGAACCAGGGACTTAGCTGATAGAGTTCTCAAGTAAATATTGTACTTAGGGAGGTGGTGTTGGAGCCGGGTGCAGCGGTGCCGCTGCAGCTAACGCACGGTGGTTTCTCCGTGCTGCGCCTCAACGAACCGCCGCCGCAGCTCAAGCTTGCTGTCAAGGTTTGGCCCATTCATGCTTCTAACTACCGTAGGACGCCCTAAGGCCACATAGCAGTTGGAGACGATTTGTTATATTAGTCTAAACCCTGAAAGATTTAATAATGTCACAATGTGCCAGCTAACCACACCAACTGACTGGTCTCAAATTACGGAATTCCCTTGTATCATAATATTGGTATATAATACCAAGTGGCGGGACGAACAAGTCGTGCCGATAACCCTGAATAACACCTGATGATTTGCAGAGCCACTCAGAGCTTTAAAATACAAAGATCTGAGGGGCACTGCTACTACGATCACCCTGAGACATAGGTTGATAAGTCCCATGTGCCTGTAATTTCACCAGCATCCTTACACAAAAACCGGAACGCAGTAATGCTCATATTGCTTTTCGGCAGAAATAGATAAGGTGGCAGTACTTCCCTGGACGAACTTCACAAGAAGCTCTACTGCTACTTGACAGGATTTAGAATTGCGAGTACATGACAGCTGTTCTCTGTTAAACGTAATTAAGGGGATTGTTTTATTATCAGATTGTAGAAATGGCGGAAGATGTTGTTATACCCGTGGAGAGAGCGGACAAGCGGTATTTCGCGATAGGGCAGCACCATACCAGCTCCAGGTTGGAGAAGAACGTGCCGCTCGTAGCTGCTATTGAGCCACGGGGCCTTATCTCGGAAATTGTTATGCAAGATGCCGCCATGCATATCTACCTTCGTAGTATCGTACAGGTAACGTTTTGTATTATAGTTACAATATTATTGCAGATTGTTGTTCATTAGTGTTTGTTATGCTTTACGTGATGCGTGACTGTTACCTAACGGTGGTAGCCTAGTTGGAGAACAGGGAGAATGTACACGGCGGAATGTACCTATGACTTTAATCTCTAAATAAACAATTTTTAAAAACATACATTATTAAATGTTTAGTAGCAATAACTCTCGCTAGGTGAAGGAAAAAATTGAGATAAAATCTGCATGTTGAAGATGATTCGCAACTTTTGGACAACGTGTGTAGTTCCCACATTGTTTTGGGCCAGCGTGACAGATTATCGTCTAAACCATGGGCTCCCAAACTTTTTGGCTTACCAAGATAAAAATATTTCTAAGCCACCACTAAAAATAATTGGAAACACATATTTTTTATATTAACACAAAAAAAACACAAGGAAAAGAAAAAAAGTAATGTAGTTTATATAATTCAGGTTTTTTTTCAAATGCGGTAGCACTTCATGGACAGCATCAACGTCCCCCAATTGCTTCCGAGGCCCCTAGGATTCTTGCGTGCCCATAGTGAAGGGACCACTTTGGGAAATTATGGCCTAAACCTTCTGCATACAGTCCTCGTGCCCAGGAATGGGGCATATAATGTTGAAAATAATGATTTCGGAACATTCTATAAGCGTTCTTAGCAAAAATCGTCACTTTTCACCATTGACTTACAATTATATGGACGTCGGGTCCGCGCTAAAAAGTGTCCGCACTTGTAAGGCGCTAAAATCGTATACAGAGCGCCAAACTCCGCTTTAGTCTTCATTTTATTTCATTACAATTTAAATTTCGAATAGGTTGACTTGGGACATTTTTTTCGTGGTTTTTTTAGACCCGTCGTCCATTTACTTGTAAGTCAATGCTTTTCACCTTATTTTGAGCTTTTTCTTATCGCATCGAAAGTACCACGATATCGCACAATGACTACTATAATGCTTGCCATTGTTGTGAAAGGATTTGCCAGTCGGCGTAAGGTACTTGCCGATTGTTGCCCAGGGTGTGCGAGACGTACAGGAAAGGAATGGTACGCCGTGCGGGGAGGCTCCTTTCGCACACCTCTATTTTGAGCTCTTAAATCAGCAGAATTATAAAAAATTCAATTGTACTGTCTAAATGAACATTGATATGAAAAGACGATATTGGTGTGAGGGTCTATATACTATTGAATTGATCCTTTTGACGTTTTCTCCGACCCAGGTAACGAACCATTTGTCGGTGAACGTGTCCGTGTACTACATGACGCTGAGTGGCAATGAAGTTCGCCTGCTGGGAGACGTGAAACCGGGCGATATCCTGCGGCTGCCGTTGCAGGCCGTACACACTCCCACCGCTGAAATGTTCTTCTCAGTTGAGGGTAAGATATAAACGCCACGGCTTCTATGCTTTGTCCATAGGAAAGATAGATAGATAGATAAACACTTTATTGCTCATACACAAGAACAAGAATAGTACATAAACAACTTAAAACTGTGTGCAAAAAAAAAATGTGGGCAAAGGCGGTCTTATCGCTAAGAGCGGTCTCTTCCAGACAACCTTTGAGTTAGGGGAAAGCTAATCGGAGCGGGAGACGTAGTGTGCCAATTGTATAAATAAAAAAAATCATATGAACGAAAATAACGGATAACTCACGTATTTAAGTCGAATTTTTTGCTCGATATGTTTCGAACCAATTTGTAGGCCTTTAATCATGAGATTCCGTGCGACGGAAATTGCGCGCCAAAGTCCTGGCAGCACGATCATGGCTGTCGCGTTATCCGTTATTTTCGTTAATATGTCTGAGTCTCACGGTGGTTTTCTGTTTGAAATAAAAACACATAATAATGTATCAAATATTCAATAAATAACGATATATTATACCTATATAAATATATGTATATATAAATATACCTAAATAAACTTATACTTACTAATAAATAAAAAAAAACATGCATACATGTTGCAGAAAATAATGGATAATTTATATTTAATTAATTGTCCTGTGTTGTCATTATTATTTAACCTCCTAAGAACCTACAATAAAAAAAAAAACAAACTACATTGGGAATAAATCCAAACACCTAGTACATCGTAAGGCAATAAATATAATTGCAAGCCCAAGCAAATGTGCCCTCAGCTTTGTATGATAAACGTATTTTTCTAGAAACCCTGTGGACATATAGAATATGTAGCACTAAATTTGAAAGCAATATTTTAATTTATAATGTAGATTTACTTGCTCATAGGAATAATATAATCTGGATCTGAATCACTTCACATATTATGTACATTTTGATGTACACGGGGCCTTATGAGCTTAATGTGCAATAATAAATATATAATTCATTCATCCACTCAATCACGTATAATAAATCCACATTTAAATAATTATAATAAAATTTCGTTTATTAAGGTAACATGGACCTATTTAGTATTAATAATAGTTACATTTAAATACGAATGATACAATACACTTCTACCTACGTATTTTTACGTACGTGCATTATAGAACAGTGATACACGCATGGATACGTCGAACCGGTTCGCTGTCATGCTTTTGTGGATGGAAGTGGATAAATCTTCCAGTCTTTAAAGTAGGTCAAGGCAAAGTACCCGAAATAGGTAGATTGTAACAAATGCTAGTCTACATTCGAAATCTCTGCGTACTTACAGAAAATCTTATCTTAACTTTTAGGTTTCACGGTATCTGTTTCGCCTTTCGTTTGGCGAGAATTACAACAAGAAGTGAAAATGACTAAGTTATTGCAATGCGATGCGAAGAACAAGAGGAGCGGCGAGAAATTCTATTTAAAGGTAAACTGTCTTTTTAGACTAACGATTTCAATAGACGAAAAATACATTGGAAGGAAAGATGATTTCACATTTTTATATAGTTTTCTAACGTTTAGTACATTTTTAAATGTAAAATATAACGGTGACGATGCGAAAATGCTTAAATCAACTAGTAGCCACGTTGACGCAACAGACACTGGTTCGAATCTAGTCAGATCGAAGGAACTTTTATCAATAATAAAACTACTAATAATAATAACAAACTAGTGGAGTATTTACACAAAATATAGGTGAATGTCGTATTAGTAAAACTCGTTAATTCACTCCATCCTTGAATAGCTCTAAATTGTTGTTACCGGGAAACAGATGTCGTTAGTGTATTCCATCCCTTTTGCTCTATGCATTAGGAAGGAAACGCATTAGGCCCCGCGCCCACAGACGGGTCAGCGCAATAGGGGATTTTTAGCTGAAATATCAATAATAATAGTCGTAGCTACGAAAACAAAGCTGCAGTAAAATTAGGGATACCGAGCCGACAGCTTCCGGAAGCCTCGGCAGCCTTTGGGTTTCTTCGGCATGCTTTTACGTTTAACGTTTCGACTGATCTGAATAGTCTATAGTATGAATCATAATAATTAGACGTCCAAAATGTAAACAAAGAAATGTCATTGTCAAAGTGTGAATGCAGATGTGCTAAACTTTCTATTTTTAACAGAATTGAAAAATGAGGAGGTTCTCATTTTCTACAATTTTAAATATTTATTACAAATATCAACAGTAAACAAAAACTTTAGCAACAACACACAATAATTTAACAAACGCACTATGGAAGCAAATAACATTCGAATTCGAGAAACGAAACTCGAATGACATCTATGACGTGACAAAATAGCATCACAAAAAATGATTTTGATCCCGATTGTGTTACCAGTGTCATAAAACTATTTGCGACCTTAAATATAGTATTTTATTTTATTTATAATTATTGTATAAAACGAAATTAAGAAAAAATATGTATTGCAAAACGTGAATTGTTCTAAGTTTTCTCAGGCTGCAGCTTGAAAATAGTTTTAAACATTTAGTATCGTTAAAAATAGGAGACTACTATTTTAAATGTATTTTTTTGCTGGGTTATCCCTTTTGTTTATCCTATATACAGGCTGTATATTTGAAAGTGAGACATATTCATACATGTCATAGTATATAATGTTACAACTTAACATAGACTAAAATAAAATTAAGATATGGGATAAAACAAAAAAATAATCAACAAATGTGTTTTGAAGTGTACATAGGAATAAACCGATTCCCTTTACGCTTGATTTCGAGTACAATGGGTATATACATAGAGACAGCAACAGTAACAATGATTTCACATTTACGTTTTAGCTTATGTTAATTATTTTTTACTTGAATTATTATCGAAATGTTTTACACACTAAAAAGATATGTTTATGATTTAGTAACTAGTTATCATTTAATAAGAATTGAGGTTTTTGGCGTAGTTAAAAATGTGAAATCAAATTATTTACAATGATTGATTTTTTAGTTATTTACAGTTTATTTACACTTACGTAGTACGGAGTAAGTTTTCAAAATGTCCACCGTTTCCCACAATGCATAGTCTAGCACGGCATAGTAAATTTTGTTTTAAATTGTACAACACAGACACATTTTGTCTCACAGTATAAAATGCTAAGATAATCCTCTCATGAAACACTTCGACACTGTTCCCCTCCTTCGCGTAAACTCCGATTTGGGAACATTTCAATAGCTTGCCTCACACATCGCCATTTATTGCGTAAAGTCGCACCATCTCAGTCAATTCGACGTTAGAATAAATATCCATTTTCGGGCGAGCGGAAGAACAAATAATTTACGTGTCTTCGTTAGATCAAGTTCTCGCGTGCACTGTCTGAAGTTGCAAACAGCCATTTTGCGTATGCGCCCGCGCCCCCACCCCCGACCTGTACTTTGTTTTTCGCCGCCGTGCCGCCACCCGCCGCTGCGTCGGAGCAATAATAATGATGTGCATAGATTTCGATAACTAATGTTGTTCTCAAGTAGTAGTCGATAAAAAAATTAAAAAAATATTTTTTGTGAAGTTTAAGTTCATTACGAGTTCTTAGGTTTTCGCGATTGTTATACATAGGAATGAAACTATTTTTCCGGATTTAAATCGCGTATATTTGTCCCATGGTGACACCATGGGACCTGTAAAGGGCCCGAAACGTCGGTTTGTTTGAAAAAACAAATATACGCGATTTAAATCCGGAAAAATAGTTTCATTCCTATTTAAGTTCATTAGTTTATTATTTCTAGATGAATATAACGCGCTCTATAAATATGTCTGTTAAACCGTGGTACGTGGTAAATGAAAACGCAGGCTATGGCTTGTGTGTTTCGTGTTGAGGTGATGGATAAGAGAGTGAGCAAGTTTTACAATTTTACGGCTTTTTTTATTTTTTTTAATTTTATAATTTTAGGGCGCCAGATTATATACTAGAGCAAGGCGCCCCTTGCTCTAGTATATAATCTGGCGCCCTGGATATACATTATAATCAATTATTCGACTAGTGCCATCTAGCGAGCGGCCACAGAACTGGGTGGTTTGTCTAGTTTACTAGGCAACTGACATAAGACACCGCGATACAGTGCCGCGGCGTAGTGTTAGCAGACGCTCACTGGGTGGCGATGCTAACAATGTCCCACTTTCAAATATATAGCCTGTATATATCGTTTTTATTTTTTATTCATTTTAATATAATTGTATCTTTGTATATCCATTATCCATTTTGGACATCTAATTATGATTCATACGATAGCCGCGAGCACGATGTCGCGACGGTACACTTCGGCATGCCGAAGGATACCGCTACATATTTGCCGTAAGTCTTCGTCTGCTTCGTATCGTATCAATGCCATACACTATGTAATTGTAGCCCAAAAGTTAATGCCGATGCTGCTACCCACGTCATTAGTAGTAGCTGCCAGGCAGAAGCGTGGGAAATGCTTGCTATCGTGATGAAAGGATTTGCCAATCGGCGTAATTTACTCGTCGATTGTTGCCCAGGGTGCGCCAGACGTGCAGGGGACATGAATAGTATGCTATTGCGAGGAGGCTCCTTTTGTGTACCCCAAATTGCCGTCAGTATGCGCTCGAATGTAGGGATACCGAAGGTACCCTTGCCATACATTCTCACCAATGGGCGCTGGGCCTAAATCATTTGTTATTCACTGTTTGAAACTTAAAATCACTCATAGAATTAATAACATTTTATTAAATATACGCTCTATCCCCAGGCAATAGGTACAATGGAGCAAGTATTCTTCGAGCACACGAACCGCCACACGTTCGCTTCATCTTGCTACGACATCGTTCTGAAACCGGCAGTGCGACTGCAAAACTGTCTGCCCGTGCCTATAGTCGTCTCGCAATTGGGATTGACGAGAACAAAGCTCTTCGAGCCAGGAGAAATGTTCCATTTGTCTCATTTGGCGCCAAATAGAGCGTCAATTGTTGTTATGGTAAGTTGTTTATTAACATCTATTTGTCCATAAGGCATATCATTATTAAATAATATTATTAAATATATTAAATATATAAGATAAATTGATTAATCGAGAGCTTTCTGTTCGATATCTCGCAAAATCGATTCTCCGTTGCGGGATGGTGATATACATTTCATGTAGCGCTGTCTCACAATAATTCATTTTAGGTCCTAAACTGAATTGTAATAAGAGTTCATGGTAAGGCCCCTGACACTTGAACATGTCAATAACGTACCACACCCGATACAACGCAGTCAGTGACCGTATCATCCCCGCTTTAAAGGCGTACGGTGCCTATTCTCTCGGTTATAGTTCATTCTGGACTAAGGGAAAAAGAGGAAAGAGAGAACCGAAAAAGAAAGTCTAAAATTTATTGAGCTCATAACATTCTAAAAAAAAGAAAAGTCGAGGGAGAATACTGGACTTTGTATTGACAACTTTATGAAGAAAAATTTCATCGTTTTGCCGACTGCGCATAGCACTTTGGTACCGTCACGTGCCACGCACGGAGCGTACCCGCACCTGCAAAATATTGTTGTCGCTATGATGTTGGTTGGCGACGGAAGGGTCTAGTAGGCATTGATTCATTTATACAAAGAATATTTTTTCATGTGTCGTTACGGTCACGGTCATAGTATTATACGATGTAGTGAGCAGAGCCCTTTAAGATAACATTTTAATGCAAAAGTTTAAAAATTTGATCTGTTCGATTTATTAAAATTTTACACGATCTGTGTGCAAACCGGTGTCAGGATGATTTCTATCTTTAGAAAATAAAAAACCGACATAAAGATCCGCAAAAGGCACATAGAGAAATTCGTAAGATCTGGTTCGATTCATAGCTCAGTTGGTACGAGCGGTAGTCACATTGAGGCGACAGACACTGGTTCTGAAGGATTTTTTCTTTGTGTTTCTCCGATCTCTGTATCGACGATTCTCCATTGTTTTTCAAATAATGTACCGTTTCTTATAGTCGTCTGAATTATTTTCTGTACCACATGATTTACGGCACCATTATATGAGAAATTATACATAACGTCAGTTAATTGTAGGTTACCAACAATGGCCAAAGACTGGCTATTCGAGAGCGTTTCCGTCTAAATCAAATTTAAGTAAACAGTTAATAACGTTTGTACAAATTCGACAGATACAAAATTACCTAGACAAATGCTGGGTATGCACCAAGAACCTACCTGACGAGGAGACAGAGTTATCAGTGTGGTCGTTCGAGTCCCACGACAGTCCGTCAGTTATGACTTTGGACCTGGGCATGCATAGCATCGATAAGGATGGAACGCAAGGGTTGTCGCTTTATTGTCCGTTTTGGATGCTGAACAAGACTGGTTTCACACTTTGCTACAGAGTAAGTCCTTTTTATACAACTATAATCAGAACGTTTCAAAGATTTTCCTGACGTCGAAATGCCGATTTTAATAACGAAATTGTAATAAATTCGATACAAAACACTTAGCCACTTTATTTCAGTTGTCTTTGACCTTTATACACATGTATTATTATTATAAAAATATTTAAAATCCTGGCATTTTCGTCGATTAAAAAATGTCGGACTTATCAATCTTATAAACGACTGAGTATCTCTTCACGAGTCTTAACATACGTAAAATATTATGTCTAATTAATAGACTATACATTAACTCGTTGTACACTAACTAGTTTAACGTAGTTTGCGTTCGTTTACTAACCATTATGCTAGAATTTGTATTGTCCAATTGTAGTAGTATGGTACAAAATACATAGACTGGTGAATATTAGATGGAATGTTTGAATTTCAATTATATACCTTAAAAGTTTAAACTAATTCAATGTGACAATTTAACATAAATCAGAGAATGGCAGTTAATTTTTGTTCTCTTTAAACATAACATGCCTTGTTACTAATTATGTATCTGATACATTTTTTTTATATTTTTCATTTTACTACAATTACTTTCATTAAGGAACATCTAAAACTTTAGAAACAAATTAAAAAGTTTGTAAACTGGTGTACAAACAGAGCTGTTCTATATTTGGCTACAAAACATTTCGTGATTGCAGAAATCAAAGAAAAATGAAAAAGACTCCGGCTCTCCCAACAAGGTATCTTTGAGATGAATTAGTCTTATCCATCATTTTTCATTTGCTCCTTTATTTAATCGGTTAATGCTTGATTACTAAAGCTTCATCTCAGAGCGTATTAGCCGTGGTCTGTGTCACCGCTTAGTGATAAATTTACTGACAATTTTAGTATCTATTATATGAACTTAAGTGACATATTTGTAACTAAATAATTATCACTAATTACAGGTTTCTTACCACGATATGATTTCTTCTTATTTCAACCCGTGACCATGGAAAGTGTAACCGTTCCGAAATATCGGAATAATAAAAAAAAAATACCGCGGTAAGAAACCTGTAATTAGTGACAATTATTTAGTGAATAACAACGAAAATCTTAGAATTTATATAATATTTGTAACTTTTGAACTGTAAATGTGGCAGGAACTTTTAGGTCACTAAAATTAGTTTAGAATTGTGCGCTACAGAATTACACAGATTGTTAATGGAACCCTCAGCTCTGCAAGAGCGAATTCAAAGGAACTACTTCCGATTTAAAAAAAACTTTCGGTTATTTATATAAAATGTTAGATTTTGTAGCAATCAGTTTTATTGCCACATGCAAGACTATTCTTAAAACAAAAATTCTCTAGTAGCATCGGAGAATTTTGCTAAATATTCAATTAACACGCTGTGTTTATGACATTTACGACATTGCAATTTGATCAGCAAACAGTGAGACGAACTCTTCCAATATAATTATTATTAATAATAAGTATTGATATTCGCGCATGCGCAGTGGGGTCATAGCATAATCCATGACGACAACAAATAGAACAATATTGTTTAGGATATTTGTACACGATCCATTTTTTGTGTTTTATCACTGTAAAAGTAAAAATTAATTTAAAAAAAATGTCCCGGCCTCACAGACGTTTTGTTTCAATCTACAGTGACTGACATTTTAAAGTAAAACGACACAACACAACTTGTACAACCCTACTCAGTTTCCAAAAGCGAACATTCCTCAATCATAGTAATATACTAGCTGCAGACTCAGTCAATAATCATCGGAGCGATATTGTGCTTTAGTTGTCGTATATCTTACGAAATGTGTATGAATGTAATTCATCAAGGGAACGAGTTTGATATGAGCTTCAGCTCAAGATGTGAAAAGCTAAATCGAGAATATGTAACCATGGAATTCTTATTACCATTTACGCTACTTTTCAGGAAAGAGACAATAGGATTCTAAAAATACCCAAAATTTATTTCTGTCTTCAAAATATATATAGTAGCAGGTAGATACATAGAAAAAGTAAGAAAGTTTATAAACAGACCACATTTCGTCGAGGCCCGTACCCTTGTTGCCAGTCTTCTGGGCATCGTGCCCTGATTCTACACTATTATAAACAATTCAAGAACTATATTCAAGTTTCTAACAACACGATGCCATTCAAAAACGTGGCAGCACTAATAATTGTTTTAAATCAATCTATGCGAGGGTTGCAACAAATATTTGATTACTATTCCGTATTTGATTTATTCGGCCTGGTTTTGTCGGCTATTCGGGCGATTAACCGAATACCTAAAAAACAAGGAAGAAAGGAAAAACACAATAAATTATAATGTAACTTTTGTAAACGCTAAACATGTGTTGTAAATTTGAGAAAGCACAATTTTTCGCTAATTTGTCTAAAAATTAAGGAAATGTGACTTAACGAAGTTCAAGTTAAAAGAAGAAATCTAAAAGATCAAAAAAGGTAACAGATCAAATGAAAACTACCATCTCATTATGTTATGTGTAATACTTGGTAGTATTACTTGCAAACCAAAATAAAATTACGTTTTTGAAACTTAATCTTACAATAATTAAACAATAATTACTTACTTTTTTAAGTGTAATGTCATAAATTTAAATTGTATAAATACTTCAATTAAATTACCTTTTTTGTTTCATTGTACAAAATTATTTATCATAAATGAAGTTAATAAGCGATGTTTTTCGTGCCGATTTTGAAACAAACCGAATATTTGACTATTCGGCTACCGAATACCGAATATTCATTCGGTATTCGACCCGAATATATTATCAATTGCAACACTAACAATGCTGTAGAATGCCTCTTATTATCCGACAGCAGGACATTGATTTATTTTCGCTTTTGGATCTATTTTGTCATGAAATTTCCTACGAAATTTTCGTGAGTGTACTGAACGTAAGATGGAGCTTTCTTTAATGCAGTCACTTTAAACCAAACACTAAAATTTGCAGATAAAAAGCTCAGGTTGCGGATCATTGTGTTCGTCTAAAAATTTTAGACGTCATACATCATGTTTGGCGGTGAGTGCATACGCCATCATCGTAATTAGAATAATAATGTGGGTTGTATTTGGGTGGAACGACACTTGCCTATCATCCGTTTATCACGCTTCAACGCGGCACTTATAATAAATGCAAAATTTTGAGTCACATGTCGTCCGAATAGCTGTTGCAACGCGGTACGAATCCCCATACAAAACCCATTTATAATATGGGCACAATGCTAAAATGTACACCAGCAAGTGTGGTTCAACCCTTAAGGGTTGTCACTGTAATGTAAAAAAGCGCACACTCACATATTTTCTTTAGCATTATGTTTAGTTTTAAAGCGTACGCTGTCATGTGCGCTTGCGGTTGCATATAAAATTGGTTAATGGAATTGTTATTAAGGCATAACCAGTGAATAAAGAATGTTGGAAATCGCGTCTAGTGGAAGGTACTTCGACTTACATTGGACAAGTCTTGATAATTATTCGCATCACCAGTTTACGATGAACCCGCCGGTAACATGTTGTAATCTGCAGATAATGGTTGACCTAATTTGATTTTGGGTATAATTACTTTATATTTTTACTTTTTTAATTCAGGAGGCGGAACTGTAATTAACACAGGCTCGGGAATGAACACCGAGCACTTAAATTACTTGGATTTGTATGACCCCGCTTATTTTATAGTTATGCTTTTTATGATTTTAATATTTGTATTTTTTAATATAACTGTCGTGGTTAGTATTAATGCATGTGTTGCATGCCTTTATCACTAAATAACAATCACAACATAAGGTTAAGTCTCATTAAAAAATAATTAAATATTGAATTTGTTGAGGCCTTTTTGTTATAAACAGTGATCGAGATTGAGGGAGTCAATTTACCTAAAGTATGAACGTTTTCTTAGTATGGGCATACCCATTTCGTCATCAATGTGTATACAATTTTTACTGTTTATTTTCTAAACATTCCAAGATATAGGTTGTTTCATGTTTATTTTTTAAATAGTGAAAGTATAATGTTATTTATACAATGTTATTTTTGAGACAATATTTCGTAGAAAATACGTAATAGGAAATAATAATTGGTCGCCAATGTACTCAAATTTCAGTAAATAGTACGCATATTCTAATATATAAGCAGTTCCGAGATATCCCGTAATTTATAGAAGGGAATATCCACATTATTCTTTAGTTTAGCTAAATTAACTCCCTCAATACCGGTTACTGGTCATAAATTATATTTGGCTTTGCAAGCGCATATGCTTCGCACTTAATATACCGTACCCACGCGCGACGTGCGGGACACATTCGGCGACGTGACTCAATGTCAGCTTTAGAAAAAGAAACCTTAAATACTAAAGCGGAGCATGTTTCGCTTTACTGCAAAAGGATTGCATCGCAAAATTGATTTTGAAGTGTCCATTGCAGTTACGTCTACTTTTTAAGCGGGAGTTTACGTGGAATGTAAAATATGCATGATGTCCAGCTCTTAGTATGGGCTCTATTACCAGCTTTGCTGGAATGTGCTGATGAACGTAACATAGCCATAGGCTGTAATAAGGTTCTCATCTTCGGAGTATAGTGGAAGCGTTTTACTCTACGTTAGTCCCGTTTCAAGTGGTGGTAGTACTTTATAACACTTATTCGAAGATAAATTTTTGGATGTAGCTGTTAAAGATTGGAAAGTAACTAACCAGAGATAATTTTTGTCGTTTTTGTTAATATGCGTCTTTTGCTCGGTAGGTCCAATATAAAATTATATAATAATTCGTTCACAGAACGCCGAAGAGGCCGGCAACGTGATATTCCACCCGAAAGACTACCTGGAACCGATACTGTTCTCTTTTCGCGCGAAGAACTTCTACGGTAAGAAGAAGGCGGCTATTCGAATTGAGTTCGGCGAGTGGTCTGACAAGTTTCCGCTTGACGTGCCTGGCAGCTCCGGTGTAGTCACTTGCACTTGTGACAACAGGATATACCAGGTACATTTTTATGTTTTCTGACATTTTTAAACAACAGATTAATTTTACATTACAATCAATTTACGATATAATTTGTATATTGTTTCAAAAGATAAGTATTTTTGCTGACAATCTTTCATTACAAGGTCTTTTCTGCTTTGAAATGTCAAAATTTGTGGTATTGAATAATTAAATCTTGACGATATGATTTTGTTTTATAGGTGGCGGTAACAAATCAGCTGACGTTCAACAGTTTAACAAAGATGGTGATATTCACTCCGTTTTATCTGATCATCAACGAGGCGCCTTTCGCGATTCAATACCAGGAATTGCATAGAAGCGGTGACCCTTGGCAGACGGTAGGTATAAGTTATAAAAGGCGGAAGAATGAGAAATTTAAAATTTACTTAACGAAAACCTCTTAACTCCGTTTTTGGACGAAATCCCTTTTTACTTTAAGCGCAATATCGGGCGGTTAAAGATTAAAATATAATTTGTAGATCCTTTTTAGTTAAAAAATAAATGTTTAACCATCTATGGATATGTCATATAATTATTTCTAGTAAATCTGTTTTATGTGTCTACTTAAAAGCTCGCAATAATGGAGGTTACGAGATTTACTAATTTAACCTACGAATTATATGGACTCAATTGATTAGAAACTTTATAAGATTGCGAAATCAACGCGTTTTTTACATTGACTTACAATTATATGGACGTCGGGTCCGCGCTAAAAAGTGTCCGCACTTGTAAGGCGCTAAAATCGTATACAGAGCGCCAAACTCCGCTTTAGTCTTCATTTTATTTCATTACAATTTAAATTTCGAATAGGTTGACTTGGGACATTTTTTTCGTGGTTTTTGTATTAGACCCGTCGTCGTCCATTTATTTGTAAGTCAATGCTTTTCACCTTATTTTGAGGTTTTTCTTATCGCATCGAAAGTACCACGATATCGCACAATGACTACTATAATGCTTGCCATTGTTGTGAAAGGATTTGCCAGTCGGCGCAAATACGGCAAAATGACCACTTTAGGGGGTCAAAAAAGAAATATGTGAAATAATATGTGCATTTATGCTTAGATATATTTCTTACCTATAGGGCTACTTTGTGTTGAGATTTGAGAAGATTTCTAAGTACCTACCTACCTAAAAAGGTATTTATAGATTATAAAAATAAAATAGAATTGAAAATCAAATTTGTATATTTTAATTAAAGTACATGTAATTATAAATTATACGTCAATTATGTCGTAAACAATGTAGTTAATTACTATCACTGTCGTCATGATCATCCATTGATTCTTCGTCATTACTTTCCTTGTGTTCGATGGTTTCTACTAGTGGCACATCCAACATTTCCAGCACCTCCTTAGAAAATGGTTTTGTGTGGTGGTTCGTGGTTTTTGTATTAGACCCGTCGTCCATTTATTTGTAAGTCAATGGTTTTTTATAATAAAAATAAACTCAATACTATGTTTTTTTTATATGTTTTTATAATAACATGTTTTATTTTCTCTCACATCAGATAGATATATAGTAACAGTATAGAGTTTCAATATTCAATTTTGTGAGAGATAGGAGCCTAAACTAGGATACCCTGTGACTTAGGTCAAATTAGGTTTATTATGATTTCGTATCGATAGCATACACTTTTTAGTTATTGTGGCCCAGGAGTTATTACCGCTACCCGCGTCACTAGTAGTAGCTGTACTAGGGGGACTTGTTTGCCATCGTGAAAAAATTTGCCAATCGGCGTAACGTATTCGCTGATTGTTACCCAGGGTACGCTTGACGTATAGAGCACATGAATGGTACGCCATTGCGAGGAGGCCCCTTTCGTATATCCCGTTTATTATGATAAGTTACTGATAGTAATTTACGTTGGAAGGTCGAGGAGAACTCGAGCGCGCCGCTGTGGCCGGTGGTCGAGACGGAAGAGAAACTACTGCTCCTGCGCGTCGCATGCACGCGCGACACCAGCGCTCCCTTCCTGTACACCGAGCAGCACAGCACCTGCCTTAAGCTCAACAACGAGGTAAACTATGCTATAAAATATCTTGTATCCAGTGCACTTTTTACTTTCCATGACGGTTGTTTTAGTACATTTCACATGGCATGAGTACAGTGACGTTTGAGATGCAGTGACGAAAAATCGATTTAAAAAAAATCGATTTAAATATGTTATCGATATATTTTGCAACGAAGGGAGAATCGATTTAAAGAGTATAGTCTAAGAACAAATAGTAAACAAATAGGATTCAACTATTATGTTATTAACAGTGATCTGAATAAGTAGAGTTTTATTACCTAAACTTCGATAAACAGAGACAGAAAGTGGAGACTGCCTTACGACTATATTTGTTTGTCCCAGATTTTTTCGGGATTCGGGAAACCTCAGCTATATTTAAAATAGCGTTATTTGGGATAGGTGGGTAGAGTATGTATATCAAAATTTAGAATTATATTCGTCGGAATTTTCCAAAGTATTCCGAAAAGTTAGTGGTTGCTGCAACTCGTCGCACAGTTTAGATAAATATAGTCTACCTACTACCTGTCCCAAATAACGTTAATTTTTAATCTACTTAGTCGATTTAAAAAAAATGTATTTATTCTTTATTGTACAAAGAAAAGACACATGAAACACACGTTACAATTGACATATACAAAGGCGAGTTTATCTCTATAAGAGATCTCTTCCAGCCAACCCTAGCCGTGGAGCAAAAATGAAGTCTGCGAGACTAACTATTGTACAACAAACTTAAAATTTAAATGTGAATAAAATATAAATGATAGTAATATACATACGACAGACGTGAACACATACATGAACTTTATATACATAAGTAGAATATATATTATAATAACAGATTACTTGTTTACAAATATGTTACCGATTAACTATCTAACGCGTTCGACAGGAAGTGCTCTTTTAATTTGTGTTTGAAAGATGCCACCGATAGACTGTTACGAATGTCCGCAGGTAGTTTGTTCCACATACGAGCTGCACTTACAGTAAAAGAATTGTGAAAGAATTTGGAGTTGGATTGAGGATGTAAAAGTGTTCTAGTGTCACAGTTACGTTTTGGGCGGGAATTGGGGGACAAGGGGGAAAAACGGGAATACGGATAATGAGGAAACTGAGGGTAATTTAAAATTTTATAAAGAAGACAAAGAACGTGCATATTTCGGCGAAGTCGGATTGGGAGCCATTTCATTTTAGTCCGAAATTCAGAGATATAGTCATATTTACGTAAACCGAATATGAAACGGATTGCCAGATTTTGTAGGCGCTCTAGTTTGTTAAGCAACTCCTCAGTAACATCCAAATAACAAACATCGGCATAGTCGAGAAGAGGGAGTAGTAGGAACTGAGCAAGCATAACCTTGGTGTTGAACGGTAAGAAGAATTGAAGCCGCTTGAGAGAATGATAGGAAAAGTGCATGCGTCGACTAACCTCATTTACCTGTGGTCTCCAGGACAGTGTATGCTCGATTATCAGACCCAGGTTCTTTTTGTTTTCAGCATATGCAACTCACTCCATCATACGAAACCTTGGGCAGATTATTGATGTCCAACCTGCAGTAAAGTCTGTTGCTACCTACAATTATTGCTTGTGATTTCGTAGGGTTTACAAGCAAAGACTTCACCACAAGAAGATCCTTATTAATAGATTCAATTGCAGATTGGGTATTGGCTCCATCAAAATGTCTATAAATTTGCAAATCATCTGCGTATAAGTGGAATGGAGGAGAAATTAATTTAGTGGGCTCGTTTATGAACACCGAAAAGAGAAGAGAAAAAAGTACACCACCCTGTGGCACCCCTGAAGTCAAAGGAGACCAATCGGAATAAATGTTTAAAACATTAAATATAAATAAATAAATTCCTGATCCTTTGATAGCGATTGCGGAGGTAATCCGAAAACCAAGTAATTACAGCAGGGGAGATGTTAATAGAGCAGAGAATGGTAAGGAGGACGTCATATTCGACAGAGTTGAAAGTACTGCTGAAGTCCAGCAAAACAATAATGGTAAACAACTTGTTATCCATGGCGTGCCGAATATCGTCGGTGACGTTATGCACGGCAGTTACAGTGCTATGACCAGGACGAAAACCGGATTGATACGGACTTATAAGTTCATGACGAGAGACATAATATGAGGGAAGTTGTTTTTGAACAGTGCTTTCAATTGTAGGATGAAGATAGGACGAAATTGGAAGAAAGCTGTGAGAGTAGCGGATTTAGGGATGGGAATGACATGGGCTAATTTCTAATCGCTAGGAAAGACGCTAGTTGCAAGAAAAGTATTCAAAATGTGTGTGATAATTGAAGCAACGTCATCCAGGATAGGTATCAGCATGTCGCGGCAAATGCCATCTTCACCCACAGCCTTGGAAGTTATGGATAGTATACTCTTCTTAACTTCCCCCTTAGTGACTTCGCGAAAAGAAAAAGGTACACAATTAGAACGAGTAGCAGTTCCCAGTGAGGTGAGCGTGGCTGCTTTAAGAGAGTCAGCAACAGTAAATGATGAGTTGGTGAAGTATTTGTTGAGTGAGTTAAGGTCAGGCAAGTCAACAGTACAGTCACGATCTTTACCCACGCCGAGTGACCTCAAGAACTTCCAAGTTTGACCCATAGACAAGCCTTCCCTCGACGAGTGGAAGTAACGCCGTTTGGCGTCATGGCACAGTCTATTGCAGAGATTGCGCAGCCTTTTATAAGAAAGCAAATTGTCTTCACTTGGAAACCTCTTGATAATCGACTTGGCCTTGTCCCTACGTTTCATGGTTTTCTTTATTGCTGGTGTAAGCCAAGGCGCAGGCAGATGCTTAACGCGTACTGGTCTGAGTGGGGCATGAGAATCATACAAATTTATTAAGTGATTGTAAAAAATTTTGATCTTCTCATTTACCGTGCTAGCTTCAATCAATGCAGACCAGTCAATGTTAGAAAAATTCCTCTCTCAATCGATCCACACAAATGTTACTAAAGCTACGCTGAAAAATGACTAATTTTTTGTTTGGGAGTGCGTACTCGATAAGACAAATATATGAGGTCATGGTACGAGAATGGGGCAATGGTTTGTCCATGCAGGAAAACCGATTGAGGTTTAGAGACTATCTGAACATCTAAAAGCGAAGGTTGACAGTTAGGAGAATGATGGGTGCAGTAAGTGGGAGCAATACAAAGTTCACAGCAGATACAAGGGAGTTAAGACGTGAAGACCGAAAGTTATTCTTTAATAAACAAGTATTAAGATCACCCATCAATATTACATGGTCGTAAGAGGCACTCAAGGATTCAAGGGTAGTCTCAAATAAGTCAAAATAGTTTATATTAACACTAGGGCTATAAGTAACACCAACTAAGATATTGGTGTGATGTAAGCTGAGGTCTAGAAATAGATACTCTAAAGACCCAGTTAAGTGCTAGGAGACTGGCTGACGACGGAGCACGGTATGTGGCTTTTGATGTAAATACATACACCACCACCACCAGTCCCAACTCTGTCGTTTCCGATATAATTTAAACCCATTGAGTGTAAAAAGGGGGAATGGTAGAGAGGGTTTGAACCAAGATTCTGAGATTAAGATTCCATCAACTATGCCGTTGCTGAATGACATATTTAATTCAGAAATGTGTGCTGGGACACTGCGCGTTAATGTGCACCAGGTTAAAGAAATTGCATTTTCCATAAAAAATTGACCGCATCTTAACATCTAGTGAAGGGCCACCGGAGTCAGAAGAAATAGAAATATCACTACAAGTCATCACTAGTTTCAGGGTCGTATTCTAGAACTTTACTCAATGCTCAAGTCAGGATTGCAATTGAAACACAAGCACTGGAAATACGACCCTAATGGCAGGGACTTGAGTATGATTTCGAGTGCTTTAAACCATACTCAAATCCTGACTTGAGCATTGAGTAGAGTTCTAGAATACGACCCTTAAATCCATCAGATGAGTTATCAGTAAAATAATTAGAGTTTACAGACATAAATATAAATGAATAAATATGTCATTTATAAATAATAAAACAATATGTGTATAGACTAGAATGCTTCCTACAAATAAAAATAAATAAGGAAAACTAATGGCGTAAATCTCTATGGATAAATATTCCGTTTTACGCATCAAATCCAACTACTTTCGGCTATTGCGTATCTCGCGTCAATACGTGTGAATACAATGCAATATACCAAAAACAAATTCACTATACTTCTTGTAACCTGATTGTGAGAGTAATCAAAAATAGTATGCATGCAACGTAAAAATTTGTGGTACAACGTAAAAAACATCCTATGTGAAACGGATTATAGTTGCCATTTTTTTTTCTGTAAAACTTGTATCTATTGTAAAATAGCGGTAAGCGTTTAAAATTCAACAATGCATACATAAATAGCTAATGCTAATTTTTTTCCGTAAAAAATGTGATGCCGTTAGTTTTGTTAGGCTTTTCAGAATTAGCATTCAGGGCCTAAAAATGTCTTGTTAGAATTAAATATTTCATAGACGCCAAACTATAAACTATGTTGCAGTTCGGCGGTTTACACGTGGAAGTGCAGACGAGGGAAGGTGGCACTTACATCACAGTGCGGCAGTACCGCGACGGCCATGCGCCTGCGCTGCTCGTCAATTTCACTCCGCACACCATCACAGTCTACGAGAAGGAGAACGTCAATGTCAAGTAATATTACCCTATAGTAAAAATATTAATCTGTTATATATGTAGGAATTTCTACACATTAGCGTCTTGTTACTCCGTAGCGACAGTAACCGACCACTATCACATGTGACACATGAATATTCTCTTAACAAAAGTCTGTCCACTATTATGACATTTTTTCAAATGCAGTGGCAAAATATATTTTCTCAAAGTGATGTCACGCTTATATCCTATCTAAATCGATCGCTGACATAAATAAGAAACAAGAAAAGAACCCCAAATACATATAGGGAAGCACTGTAAGATAAAATGTCAAATGGTGTCCGTCAATCTGTTTGTCGTACTATGTATAGTGCTTCTATTTTCTCAATG